TCGCGCGCCCCGAATATTTTAACCTTAAAATTGATTGACAATGAACATGAAATGTAATAAAAATCGATTAACATTATATAATTAGGATGATTTTTATGAATTTAGGTATTTTGTAATTTAATTAATGGATAATCAACACCACACATCAAATAAAATTTCATACGAACTTATTGTTTAGAAATAGCATTTTTAACTTAATTCCTGTAATGCTATAGCTATTGATACTAATAATTCAATTGTAGTCTTTGCAGAAGAATCAAGAATAATAACCTGTTAATTCAAATATGTACATTTAAAACTATTAAGTAATTCAAAATCAGTTCTTCTAATACTAATACTCTAAATTTCTTCAAATTTAGATAACAATTTATATCTGGGTGTTAGAATTCATCAATTTATATATGGTCAATCAATATGATAGCAAATTCTAAATACATTTAAAAGTTGTAAGCTAATTCAGGTTCTACACTTTGTATGTGCATCTCCAAATTAGAGGATAAGGTCGTGACTGGGCACTATGAAAATACTATAAAAATTTGGGGTTAATTTGAATTACATCCACAATAATGGTCTTGCGTAGAAAATTTGTTTGATCATGCAGGAGCAGTTTATGGATTGTCCATGAACGAAAATTAAAATAAATTAATATCTTGTTCAAATGATCAATAAATATTAGTTTATTAAATTTCATAACAAAGTTATAATTGGATCTTACAATAAATAATAAAAAATGATGGTCTGCGTTTATGCTTTATTAAAAATGATGTCTTTGTATTTCAACCTTTTGCAGCCAATAATCTATAAATATACTTATTTGACAAATTATCTTAAGAATTTATAAAAACGCAAAAAGTCTAGATTTAAGAAGGAGGTTAATTTTGTAATGAATCTTTCCCATGTATTTATAATCCTAAAAAAGGAATTATATTTGATAAAAGTAGTTACAATTTAAATATTTTAAAGTGTAAATCAAAATAAGACCTTAGAATCAAAGATAATAATTAGATTGATTTCATTTTAGAAGATTCAATTGATTTTGGTGATGAATATTTTTGCGGATCAATTAGTGATGATGGAGAGTATTTAATTATTTGGAATAATGAATAAAAGGAATTATCAATTAGAAAGTATAAGGAGTAATGAAAGTTATAAAGAAATTTAAAATATAATTTCTTAATGTAATATAAAAGTAGTTACAGCATTAAACTCGTTTCATCTTGACTTTTGCAAGAGCTTTATCTTGCCGATATATACTTATTAAAAAAGCCAAATAAATTTTAACGATCTATATATATCCTTATTTAATTTTTTGAAAAGTTATCATTTTCTTTTTTCCGTTTATTTATTCTCATTAATTCTAAGAATACTACATAAAGTAAATAGATATGAAAGTATTGGATAAAACAGACATAGGTTAATGGTTATTCATTACAAAGGATATTCAATAAAAATAGTTTAACTTATCAATATGTTAAAAATTGACTAATCAGATTTTTTGCTTTGCTAGTTGTTTTATTTTCTATTTTTTGTTTTATTAGGTTCCATTATCATAAGCCTTATTGCTATTATTGATTTTTAATTTAAAATTGTTTATTAATTTTTAAGCTTCTTTATGTTTAGGGTTATACCTTGACAACTTTTTAGTAGCAGTCTAATTCCTCCTCAAATTATTAAATGCAACCTAATGAAAAACCTAACGTTCACACTTTATTGTACCTTTATTCATTAATAAAGTTTAGGTTAATTCTTCATCTGGATTCAGAGAAAGCGCTTAGTTAAAGCATTCTATGGCATTGTGATACTTCTTCAGTGCTTGTAAACAAAATGCTAAAGATTATTTGCAAAATACCTTTTTCAACATAATATTCGATGTCACTTGGATTTATTTAAATTACGTGATTATAATATTCAATTGCTTCCTTATGTCTATCGCATTCTCTTAGCAAATTAGCTAACATAATAAGAAAGAATACCCATATTAAATTATGCAAATTCATTTTTTGGGTTTAGACTAATTGCTTTTTAAAATTACAACTCTGCTTCTTTTTATTTATTAAGATGAAATAAAGCAGCACCTAAAATTATTTAATTAAATGCCTTTTTTATTATAAGCTTCATCATTTTTAGGGTTTGATTTAATGGCTTAATTTGCTGATTATAAACCTTTTTCGAATTTGTTTTATTCAATTAATGCAGCGCCTAATATCTTTTAGATATTACTTTTATTAACTTATGCTTCATCATTTTTTGGATTAAGTTTAATTGCTTCATCAAATTAAATTATTGATTCCTCAAATTTTCCTTTGCGCATTAATGAAAGGCCTCTATTTATTAATGATTTCTCTGAATTTAAGTTTGAATTTATCAATTTTCTTTTTTTCTTCAAATTCTTCTCTTAATTTTTATTTCTTTCTAATATCTAACCTAAATTATCGCTCTATTAATTTATTATAGAAATCTTCTCTTTCTTCTTCTTATGAAGCTTGACTTTTTAAATTTTCCTCTTTGTCTTTTATTAAGGTTAATTGATTTTTTTCATATTTTAAAAATTAATTATTTTCATCATAACTATTTTCATAAAAGTTGCATTTTATACAGAGTAATAAATCGAAATGAATTTTCATATCTTAAGTACGATGTTCAAGATTTATAATCTATCATAATTAATTGGAAATAATAAAACATTTATGTTTTATATAATATTCATTTTTCCATATTGGTTCTAACTTGAATTGCTTTTGATTAACTGTCCCATGTAATTAAATATTGTCCATCCTCGCTTGCTACTCCATATAAATCTTAAACCCCAAAATTAATAGATTATTCTACTATAAACTAATTATTTTCTATTTATCTCATAATATGAATATAGAAGCCATTTTTTATTAACGAGAAGACATTTTGATTTAATGTACTATTATGGAAACAAAGAGTAGATATCTTGACTATTATCGAAATTTATTTCTGATTTCTTCGAAATGGTCTCATTTGTTATCTCATAGATATGCATTTATTAACTATTATTAGGCTAATAGGCAAAAATATCATTGCTTATGAAACATAAACGCAATCCATACTTTTCAACAACTATCTCTTATTTGACAATCCATTTTCTATCTTATTCTGAAGGCTCTATGATAAGAATTGAATTGTCGTCACTGCTGGATATTAATTTATTTTATTATTCATTCA